GTAGGTGCTGTAGATGTACATGGCTGGGCTCTTCTCAGGGGCTGTAAAATGGCAGAGATCAGGAGCAGCTGAATTCCTGGCTCAGCTCTGTGCATGGCCTGACCTCTGCTGCCTCTGTGCAGAGCATGGAGTCCTCCTTGCCTGTCCTTGTCCTTCAAACACAACAAAGGGGAAAGACAGAAGCAAGAAGGCAAACTGCTGTGTGATGTTTCCTCACAGCCAGCAAGGCAGAGTCCAGCTACAGGGTAGGGTATCTGAAGGGGTTTCAGCTGCATGGAGAGTAAAGTTCTGGACTATTTTCCTTTAGTTAACCTGCCAGCTGCCATGAGGCTCCTTTATCTTTGAGCCTAAGAAGGCCCCATTTTGTCCAGTTCATTTTAATCACTGCATTGGAATATGTGTGTAAAAACAACAACAAAACCCCATCTGCATGAAACCAAATTTGATATTGGCTCCCTCTCTTAATGTGATCCCATGAATTTCTTACATTGTTGTGTCTCATGTAGTAAGGGTCCCATGCAGAGAGCAAACAATGCAGCAGTGAGAAGACAGATGCTCTGCTAATGGGAAACCAAGGAGCAGAGAGTCTGTGAGGGATTACAGGCAGCCTGGGGTTGGAATACATTATTAGCATAGCACCCAATTCAGAAATTAGTTTTCAGAATTAAATGCCTGAAGCATTTTGGCAAAACCTCCTTATCATCCCACTCAAAGGCTCTGAAAGTGTGAAAGAGAGGAATCTCAGGCCTGGGCTGGGCAGTGGGTGCCTGTGCAGTGCTGCAGCAGTGAATTGGAGATTTTACAGCTTCATACCATTGCCAGGGCAGCAGCTGCCACACCCACTGCAATGTAACCACTGGCTCTGCTTGCACAAACCTTCAGCAGGTTTTGGACATCCTCATCAAAGAAGCACATGGGCCTGAATGAGATTCCAGGCTCTGTTTCCAGGAGGAAGGTTTTGTTTTGTTGAGTGCAGAACAGCAGGGAAGAGCAGCAGCCCCTCCTTGGGCACAGTCAGGCATGGCAGGGAGGAGCTTTGGCTTTTCCAAGGCCTGACATTGCCTAGGGCAGAAAGTTTGGGTCCTGAAGCCTTTTTCAGGAGCGCTATTTTCTGAATGTTTTTCTTTTGAAAATCATGATGGGAACATCAAACTTTAAAAGACCCTGGTAGACAACCAAGGTTTGCTACAGGGCTGAGAACAGGCAGGAGAAATTGTTTCTCATAGTACTTGGTGGGATTATCCTCCATGCATAATTGTTCATTGTATGCTCAAAATTCATTGTTCATTTCTTTTAGATATATTGCATATTAGACAGAAGAATTATAAATCCCAAGATTATCACAGGAGGATACTAACAGGCCTAAATATTCAGGACAGAAGGGGTCTTGTTTTCCTCTTACATTGAAACAAAGACTCTTGGACAGGATCATTAGAGTTTTTTTGGTTTTTTGTTTTGGTGGGGTTTTTTTTTGGTTTTGTTTTGTTTTTTGGGTTTTTTTTGTTATTGTTGTTGGGGGTGGTTTTTTTGGTTTTTTGTTTTTTTGTCTGATAATCAAAGTATATTGGACAGCAAACAAAAGAAAAGTTCAGCCAGCCAAGTTTTCTACTTTATTTTTACTCTGCTATTCTAACATAATTAACAAATTTCTCAATATTTATTTAGCTTCCCAGAGTCTTATTTTATATAAGTATCATTGAGGAGGTGAATTACAAAGTCTTCATTTGTGCATATAAAATGAGATTTTATTATCCTGGTAGAGAAGACAAGGACAAGGTAAATAAGGGAGAAAACAGTTGAGACCAGACTGAAGAAATCAGGAGAAATAATAGGCCAGCTCTTCAACTTGCACTTTGTTTTCTTTGCATCCTGGTGTATCCAGCATTGTACTGCTGAGTCACTGAAGGGAGAGTAATTTCATTTTCAGCTTTGAATTTAGAGCTGGTCTTTTAATAACAACTTCTCTCAGTGTTTTTCTATGTGCTCAAGGAGTATCTGTAATGAATATTAGGGAGAGTTCAAAATGACACTTCCCATTTGTTGTGGATAGAGTGTCCATAGGCTTCTGCCTGTTCCCACCCAGACTGACATTGGTCTGTGTTTACATCACTTTACTGCTCTGCCAACAAAATACTTTTTTTAAGAAGCTGGCACAGAGGGAACCCATTTATAGAGGAAGGCTAGAAATGAGCCCCACATTGCTGAAATCCTGAATGGAAACTGTGCCTGTGAATGCCACAGGAGAGGAGCCAGAGCTGAGATTTGGCTGCTCCATGAGGGTCCTGCCTGCCAGCCTGTGTCACCTCAGTGCTTCACCTCAGCCTGTTTCTCATTCTCCAGATTGGGAATGGGGGTTCTGTGCTCAAGAGCTCTTTGTACTCCTCTGACTCTGTCAGTAATGAGAAAGTCTCTGATTCTGTGTAGCAAAACCTTCTCCTCTCTCAGTTACCTGCTCACAAGCTCTGGGGACCAGTGCTGCTCCCTCCTGCCCTGCTGGGAGCCCACCCTGGGAGGCTCCTGGTGTGCTGAGACAACAAAGAGGCTCTTCTGCCTCTTCTGCCTTGGCTGCAGGCTGGAGCAAGTCCCAACTCCTCTCCCATTGCACACACAAGATCTGTGAGGGTTGTTAATAATCAAGTGCTTCAAAGACAGATGATGACAATTTTAATTAGTATTTTAAGACTTTTAAATTCTGCTTCTAAAATTCAAAGCTTAGTACAGTAGCTCTATTTGAACACTCCACGTTGGGATCAAACAGTGCAAAGAAGCAGTTTACAGTCAGCTCCAGAAATGTTGAGAAATTGAGCATTTATTGCTTTTAGCAGCAGTGCCCACAGTGCTGCCATCCTGTAGAAACAGTGCTGCTGGGCTCAGGCTGTTACTCTTTTCCAGCCCAAATAGATTTAAAATACAAGCAGACCTGGATCCAAAACCCTGATGTCTCTGAACCAGCCCTTCAGTCTGTCTGGGATTGACCCTGTGACCAGGACAGAGGAGTGTCATGGTAAAGGACAGCTCCCTGAGCCTGGGAAATATTCTGTCACTGCTGTTGCACTTACTGCCATTTTGCAAAGTCTTCTTAATGGGGTAATCCAGTTCTGGATGTGTTTGACTAATAACAATTCTCTTGTTAAAAACAAATCATGGTTTTAATTTAATAGGGTTACTTACATAAAGAGTGATTTTGTGTCAGCAAAGCCTTTCTTTCTGACAAACAGTATAATTTATGACAATCTAGTTAGCAATAAATGCCATTAATCTGACCACTATGCCATTCTCTTCCTGGGGAATAATGTCCCCTCTTAATCAATAGCTGGGTGAATGCTCCTTTGCATTCCTTATCAAATGACAGCCAGATGGTACTGGTAAATTCATTCCAGCAGGGTTTTAGAATTAGCTGGATTTGTGCTGCTGTTAATCCTCTGCTGTCTGTGTCACTAGGAGCTGCCCACCTGTTTCAGTAAGCCTGGGGCTCCCAGCCCTAGGAACAGCCAACCAGAGGGTGACTCAGCCATGGGGCAGCCAAGAAACATCCCAAGCAGTGAGACCTTTTCCTGCATCAGTAAGAAAAATGAAAAAGCAAATAAAAAGAGGAAAAGTCTTGCAGCAATAGCCAGCTAGGACTGCCCACCTCTGTATTTGTTCCTCAACACCCTGATCTCTTCCAGGGAAGTTTCTTAGTCCTGCACAAGCTGTGTTTCTTAGGGCACAGTGAGATTTGGGTGTGACAGCTGCTATATCATTTACTGACTTCTGGGCCCATCAAAGTGTCTGTGAGACCTTTTCCTACATAATCACTTTGTTGCATAGCAACAATAATTTTGTCTCCAACCTATTGATTGATAACATGTAATCCCCTCACTCCAATAAAAAAGAAAACATATGGCAGCTCCAGGCAGGGAACCACAGGCTTTTGATGTGAGGGGACAGTTAATCCCCACTAAACCAGGGGGGAATGGAGCAAGACACATTCTGTTGGGCTCAGAGGATGCATTAGGTGCCTGAGCCAATTAACCTGTGTTCTGGGAGAGGAGCCTGCTTTACATTCATCCTCCCCTTCCTCATCTTTTATGTCGTGCAACTGAAGCACATTTGAGGTGAGCTGTGCTAGAGGAGCATCGCTGTGCAATGCCCCAGGGGGTGGGCACAGGCAGGATGGTGCTCACACAGCTCTCAGCTGACATGGGCTGCAGAGGCCTCTCAAACACCAGTTTCACAGGGCTGGAGTCCCTCAGAAAGATGTCTCCTGTTTGTAGGCTGTGGTTTGCTGGGTCACTCTGATCACCTGCATGGTTTTTCCATACCTCTAAACAGAGGGCTAGACCTTGGCATCTGAAACAGGATCTGCTCTGGGGACAGGAGCACAAAGTTAAGGTCAGGACTGCTCAGGCAGGGAGCACAGAGCTTTGGTCCCAGGCAGACTCAGCCTCTGGCTGTGCCATGCCCTGGCACTGCAGTGTGGGCTGGCACCATTGTTCTGAGGTGCCTCCTGCTGCCCACGCTGTGCAGCCAGCCCAAGGCCCTGTGAGTGCACTGCTGGATCCTTCCCTGCCTGGAAGGCTTGGTGTCCACAAGGCAGCTAAATCCCTCTTGGGCCTGGGTTCATTTTTCTAGCTTGCAAAAGCACTGAGTGAAATGTGGGTCCAAAGTCTGAGGTGGCTGATTTGAGCAGGCTTTGGGAGGTGAGTCCTCTGTTATTTAAACAACCACCAAAAGAGTCAATTCAAGCTAATTTCTGCACATCAAACACAAACTTTCCATAAAGACTTTTAAAACATCAAACTTACAATAATACTGTTACATGGGGAATCTCAGTGGAAATATTGCAGTGGATCAGAAGGCCAAACTGGTCTCTGAACTTGCTGCAAGAGCTGAGTGAAGGTTTCTGAGTCACTGTCTCCCAAACCTGTGTCATACATAGCACAGCCTTCACCTAAAAGGTATTTCTATGGCTAGAGGAGTGGCTACTAATGATCCTTTCTTTTCTGTCATTTTAACAGTATTCAGGTTTTCAGCAAACAGCAGACAAGTGCTTTGTTTGTGGACACCTCATAATGGAAATGGTAAGAGACCTAAACTCCTAATGACAGGTAACTTGGGAAGTGCACTGTGAGACATCTGCTTCTCCCTGCCCAGGCTGGTATTGTGTTTTCACTGCTGTCAACATAGGTTTTGCAACTGAGGCAGTAAATAAAAATACCTTCATGCTCCATTACTACTATTAGGGGCAGAAAGTTGGGCTTCTTAGCTACCTAAGAATATGGAAGGCTATTACTCTGCCATTTGTGAGTTAAAATAAAATAAGATTTTAATAATAAAGGGGGAAGTACGGCAGAGCTTTGTATGAGAATAGGTAAAGGAACACAGTGGGTGTGCTCTGTAAGACAGTAGATAACAAGAGCTCATTCATGTGGGTGGAATCTGGGGTAGAGCAGAGAGGGACATTATCAATAGTCCTGAGATTTTTCACCTGCTCTGTGACTTGCTTTGTTTACCCTCTGTTGCTTGCTCCACATCACTTAAAATGCATTATTGCCACTGGGATTTTTAGGGAGCCAGCAATCAGAGTTACTTTTGTAATAAAAATAAAATCAAAGAGCTTTGGGTTGGCCAGATCCTACTGGCATCCTTTCAGGAGGTGAAAGTAAGAAGAGTTATGTGTGCTCTTCCTAAGCAGAAATTCCCAAACCAAATGAAGTGGTTTGCACCACAAAGAAGGGCACATCCTGCAGTGTATCTGTTTCTATCCTGCTTTAAAGTGTGCATCAAGCTCAGTGTGCCTAAGAGAAGTAGCTGGTGTGCTGCACAGACAGAGGTTCAGTCAGAGCTGGAACAGGGACTTCACTAATGAGGATTCTGGCTCATATTCTGGCACCACTGGTTGGACAAGGATATTGCTCGTTTTAGCCCAAGAGCAAATCTCTGGAGTGGTGTCATGCTGGGAGGGGGAGGGTGTCCTGACGTGCTTGCTTGGAGCTGGCCCTTAATTGAAGAATCCCAGGCAAGAGTCCATAATATCTCACTGGTGCAACTCAGTAGCTGCAAGCTTGGCAGGTGCTTGCCTGCCTCTCTCCCATCAGCAAGTGTGCTCTGACAAAAGGAAAGAGCTCGGGGAGCTCCAGGAATTCAGCTCTCCTGTTTGGGTAATTCCAGCATGCTCCTGCCTGGGAGCACAGCCCAGCCCTGCTGAGTGCTGGCCTGGGGCAGAGCTGGGGCTCTGCAGGGCTCTGCAGGGCTGGGGAGGAGCTGCCCTGTGCTCAGGGCCTGTGGCTGCACAGCTGTGCCAGGCTGGCACCACAGCAGCAGCAGCAGCCCCAGCACAGGGACCAGCTGCCTCTGGCTCAGAACAGCCTTCCCAGTCAAAGAGAGTCTGATACCACTGAGCTACTGGGCTTTATCAGAGAGGGGAAAAAAGGTTAAATTAAATTGGCCTTTTTTTCTGCCCTTCTTTCCTCTTGGTTTGATCTTAATTCATAGGATCACCTATAGTGCCATGGGAGCTTGGTCTGTGCAGATTTTTCACCTCAAACTTCCCAGCAGCTCCAAGCTGAGCACTGTGCTAGCAGCTGAAATTTTGAAATTACCTTCTAAAGATACTTCTTACACCCAAAATGTATGGAATTGGTCTTATAATCTGTTGAGAGCTGCCTGAAAGTGATAGCTGTGTCTCACTCTTCCCAGGGGCTTGTTCATGGGCTTGCAGCATCCTCCAGTGCCACACTGAGTGTCACGTATGAGGATGTCAGGAGTGGGGGATCTGCTCTGTAGTAGTGCAGCCAAGGTTGCATCAGACCTTTCCCTGAAACCTTGAAAATGCAGTAGGGAAGGTCAGCATGGGAACAGCCTGGGCAGGTGCATGGATCAGTATCCAAACACATGGATAGTGGTGGAATTTTATCAGAAACCAATGAGCCCCTGTGACTAAGTGATAACCAGTCAGTAACTCTGGGAGATTAGGATCCTTAGTTAATAGAGAGGCACCTCTTTATTTGCTTGTTATGTTATTTAACTTTTTGAGTAATGACCAGTTTGGATTCTGTCTGTCACAGCCTGTCAAGTTTTGTAAGGTAACTCTGTATCCCAGTACCTTGTATTTGGGATTTCCCCAGAGAGGGTCTTTGAAGCCATTTTTAATTTCCATGGGCAGTACTGGCCCTGCAGAGCTAAAGCTGATGGGCTTAGTCTGATTTTCAGCTCTTGCTCTTCCTTGGGAGCATATTGAAACCCACTAAAATAAGCAAGCTGATTGTTTTAAGAGGCCCCTTGCTGACAGATCTGCAGAGTGGTAATTTCATCCTGAAGTGCTTTTCTCACTGCCATTATTAAGAATGAGAGAGACACAGCAGTTTATGGGGAGACAATATCTCATGTAATCATGCATCCACTTATTTTGTTGTTTGCCTCACAAGATCTTACAGGCCCTTGGCAAGTCCTACCATCCTGGCTGCTTCCGCTGTGTGGTGTGTAACGAGTGCTTGGATGGAGTCCCCTTCACTGTAGATGTGGAAAACAATATTTACTGTGTCAAAGACTACCACACGTGAGTACACAAATCCACTGCATGCTCAGCAAACCTACAGCAGTTAAATCACTGATCTAGTTATAAGCCTTGTGATAAGCAAAAAGGTCACTCCTGTTTGCTCAGATGTCCCTCAACTGCTTCTTTCACGTGTTGCATTTGTAAAGTATTTTAAGGTTTGTTAAGCAGTACCTTCTGGGCCCACTATGGCACACAGTGGCCAGATGAGGCTGAAAATCAAATTGTGTCAGAGGATGGGCTTATGGGGCTGTTCCTCTGCTTCCTTCAGGACTACCAACACTAATTACACCAGGGCACTTCTGGAAGTGTTGGTAGGTTCTGCTGGCTGTTACAGGAGCAGAGGCTCTGGCAGTGCTTGACTCAGTGTAAGTTTTGTTAACTGACACAGAACACAGGTAATAAACAGTTACTGGTAGAACAATCTGAGCCTTACCTGACAAAAGGTAGAGGTTTAAGAGATTGCTTTTGGAGTCTTTCCTAATTCCACTCAAAGGCAATGGGATCCTGCTCTTAGCTCAGTTAGCCAATAACTCAGTTATGCAGCAGGAGTAAATCACCCTGAATTCAGCTCTGTTGGTGCCAATCTGGATGTGTTACAAGGACACAGTGAGTGTTGGCCCAATGACAAAATGCAGCTGTGGACCATAAGCCCATTTGTGTATTTAGGTGGGAGATTCTGGCCATGATCAGCCCCTCTCCTGTTTAGGACCCATGGTTGTGTCTTTCTGATGTCAGAGTCCCTAAGTCAGGAGCTGCTTTGTAGTCAAGCATCAAGGCTCTGGAAGAATTTGAATGGTTTTATAAATAAAGGAAGGAAAGAAAAAAGGCATATACAGGAAGAGGGGTGGATTCACTATGCCTCAAGGTTGGGAAGACCTAAACAATAAAGTTGGGATAGATCAGCCTTTCCCAAATCTCCTTTTCATTGAATATCAAACAATTAGAGGCATTTCAAATCCTGTGGATCTCCATTTTACTAAAAACAAGGCATGATTAAAATGGCTCTCTTGCTTCTGCTTTTTGAAGATGCTTTAAATGTGATTGGAACCCTTTCTTCTTGCACCCTAGGGTTTTTGCACCAAAATGTGCTTCCTGTAACCAGCCAATCCTCCCAGCACAGGTAGGTGTTAACATGCACTGACTCCTGGGGAAAACAGCTGTTGGCATATGGGCACTTTCTAAAAACACACTAAAGGCTTCTCCTTCCTCTCCAGAATCTGTACCATGTTAGATACTAAATTAAACACAGTTCAGCAGTGAAGTCACTCCCAAACATTCCCAGAGGTTGTAACAGTCATACTACTCCTACAGCATAGTACTTTTTATCTTTAGGGTGCTTTCCAGGTCTTCATTAATCTGTTAGAAACTTCATTTAATTGAAAACACTGACTGGGGCTCCAAGAACAACTCAGGGAGTAAAACCCTTGCAAAGGCATCTGATGGTTACTGGCCCTGTGAGAAGGTCACACAGTCTGTAGTCCTGAGGTGGCATTTTTGCCATTTCCATTTTGAATGGAAGTTCTTAAAGGGGTTAAAAAGGCAACAACAAAAACAGAACCAGGTGAAACCTGCCTGCCAGCTCAGCCTGTGCTGACAGTGTTATTGGCACAGTTAGCCCAGAGTGGGGCTCCCTGGTGCTCTGGTGGGTGCAGGACCCTCTGAGCTGCCTTTGCTGAGGTCACTGACCAGTTCATTTGTAAGCAAGGGCCTCAGCATCTCCCTGCTTTTCCTCTGTCATGTTTACAGCACCAGAGCTTCCCTCCTGTGAGCTGCTGTGCCCCAGTGAAGCCTGATGCTAGAGCTTCTCACATGCCCACCTCCATCACTCTGCACATTAGTCTCATTTGTCATTAGTATTTCTGTTAATTGGCCAAGTAACCATACCCCAAAAAACCCCATAAAGGCTGAACTGCTGTCTCATGGGTTGTGAGGAGAAAACCTCTGTGTAAATGTCACTGAATTTGGGTTTTAAAAAAGGATTCTTTTTTCTTTTCAAGAAAGAAAAAGAATTAAAAGGCAGTCATAGTGCTGACTCACCTGACTAGCAGGACACATTCCATGTTCTTTCCCTGGGAGATTTCCTGGGTTAGTTCAAGTCTGGCAGTGCAGGTGCTGACTTGCCCACAGCTTCTCTCAGACACAGTCCACATCATATCTGGTGCTCTAACCACACCTGGAACTGGAAACAATGCAAGGCAACCAATTTAATGAGCTCTGTCTTCAGAGTGGATCAGGAAAAGAGCCTGTGAGGTTACAGAAGGGTATGGGCTGCTCTGCAGGCCTGGGGCTCAGCCAGGATTGCACAACTCTGCTGAGGTTTGGCCTGTGCAGGTAATTGCCTGCCAGACTGGTATGTCAGTCCCTGTGGGGACACACAGTGACACGTGCATGTGCAAAAGGGCTGTGCAGCAGATGGTTGGAGAGGAGCACAAGTCCTGGAAATCAGAGCAGGGTGTATAGAAGGGAAAGTTACCCAATGAGCAGGTTTTGGACTGGTGATTTGTTCAGATCCTGGGCGCCCTTGGAAGAATAAGTGATTTCAAGACTGATTTGTTCCTTGAGCATGAGGCTTTGGCTACACTTCCCAAATGACCTGTGCAGTTTAGATGTGCCAGACACCCAGACTGCTGCTGCACAGCTGAGGAGTGGTGCAGGGCCGTGGCCAGGGCCAAGGCTTTCAGTGGCCACAGAGCTCTGCTGTGTGGGGGCAGAGGGGATTCCCCCAGGGACACAGCTCCCAGACCAGCTGGGCACTGCATGGAGACTGAAAAACACTTCTGAGACACCACTGGCACTGTGTCCTCAGACACCACTGTCACTGTGTCCTGAGTCACCACTGTCACCGTGTCCTGAGACACACTGTCACTGTGTCCTGAGACACACTGTCACTGTGTCCTGAGACACCACTGTCACTTTCTCCTGAGACACCGCTGTCACTGTGTCCTGAGACACCACTGTCACTTTCTCTGTGCTCCCCAGGGCTCCGAGGAGACCATCCGGGTGGTGTCCATGGACAAGGACTACCACGTGGAGTGCTACCACTGTGAGGTGAGTGCCAGGCCTGGCCTGCAGCAGGGCCTGCTCTGGGGGGGGACCTGCTCTGCCCTGAGGGGGCCCTGCTCTGCCCTTGGGCCCTGCTCTGCCCTTGGGGCCCTGCTCTGCCCTTGGGGACCTGCTCTGCCCTTGGGGCCCTGCTCTGCCCTGGGGCCCTGCTCTGTCCTGGGGAACCTGCTCTGCTCTGGGGTTACTGCTCTGCCCTGGGGCCCTGCTCTGCCCTGAGGGGGCCCTGCTCTGCCCTTGGGGCCCTGCTCTGCCCTGGGGCCCTGCTCTGCTCTGGGGCCCTGCTCTGTCCTGGGGAACCTGCTCTGCTCTGGGGTTACTGCTCTGCCCTTGGGGCCCTGCTCTGCCCTGAGGGGGACCTGCTCTGCCCTTGGGGACCTGCTCTGCTCTGGGGTTACTGCTCTGCCCTGAGGGGGCCCTGCTCTGCCCTGGGGAACCTGCTCTGCTCTGCTCTGGGGTTACTGCTCTGCCTTGGGGCCCTGCTCTGCCCTGGGGGACCTGCTCTGCCCTGGGGGACCTGCTCTGCCCTGGGGGACCTGCTCTGCCCTTGGGCCCTGCTCTGCCCTTGGGCCCTGCTCTGCCCTGGGGCCCTGCTCTGTCCTGGGGAACCTGCTCTGCCCTTGGGGCCCTGCTCTGCCCTGGGGCCCTGCTCTGCTCTGGGGCCCTGCTCTGCCCTGGGGCCCTGCTCTGCCCTTGGGGCCCTGCTCTGCCCTGGGGGACCTGCTCTGCCCTTGGGGCCCTGCTCTGCCCTGGGGCCCTGCTCTGCTCTGGGGCCCTGCTCTGCCCTGGGGCCCTGCTCTGCCCTGAGGGGGACCTGCTCTGCCCTTGGGGACCTGCTCTGCTCTGGGGCCCTGCTCTGCCCTTGGGGCCCTGCTCTGCCCTTGGGAACTGCTCTGCCCTTGGGATGTACTCTGCCCTTGGGGACCTGCCCAGCCTCATGGGGACCCTGACTCACCCCCTGGGCTGCACTCCCTGCCTCTTGCCCCCCTGGGCAGGCAGGGCTCTGCCCCACAGCTCCTGAGGAAGACAAACAGGTGAATGCTGCCTGGGCTGGAAGTGGTGCTGCCATCACCAGTACCAAATTAGTTTTGGAGGGTTTTTCCCCAGTATATGAGCTTCAAAGCTGGGCTTGGTTTGTTGGGTTGAATTTTCTCAGTACTTCTGGATGGGGAGTGAGCAAAGAGTAGGTGCTAGTTGTCTTTTTCCTCATCTGTACAGTCTGTAGGCTCTGATCTGGGGAGATTTGGATTTACATTGGCCGTGCAGGGAAGGAGTCTCACTGGAAGGCCTTTCTAGGGGATCTGGTTTCTCCATGCTGAATGAACATTGATTCTTTACTGGAAAAATTGACCAGGATATTATTGACTTTCTGTCAGTTTTTTGGGAGTAGTTTCTTATTGTGCAGAACATTTAAACATTTATTGCCATGGATCAAGTTGTGGAATTAGCGCTCTTGCTTCAGAGAGGAGACCTGAGTTCATCCTTATCCCACAGCCAGGAACATGAGAAGGGAAACAAACTCACTAAGCTGGGATCAGCCAAAAACTTCCCTTTTGCTGTAGGTTTGGCAGTCTGACACAGCACACAAATATCCACACAGATCTTCCCTATTAGCACCAGGGGCATGAAGGTTTTACAAAGAATCTTCTGACTGAGAGAGAAAATAACAAAATTCAGAGCATCTTGAAATGTTGTGTTCCTAAATGTAAGGAAGGCCCCATCCACTCAGCTATCTCCTTTCAACAGACACCTGATACTCCATCCATTTCTATTAATTTTTAAAGAGAAATTGGCACAGGAAATCACAGTATTTTGGAGAGCTGAACTTCCCTCCTCCTTTTCCCAGCTATTGCTTTGTGCAGGCTTCACCTAAGATGACAGCTCCCTCCCCTGCTCTCAGGCTATTGACTTTATGCTGGAATGTCCCACTGGGGGTTTATTTTCCCTTCTGTTTCATTATTCATTTCCCCATTTTGCCTCCCCATCAAGCTGCCTCCACATCTGCCCAGAAAGGCAGAGTGCATTTATGTACAGAAATCAGGAGTTAGCAGGGGTGGGTTACTGCCTGATGCTCTCACATGAGGCTCTCTGCACACTGCTGTCCCCAAATGCTGCTGGAAAAGTGAGTGCAGGATTTTGAGGTACACAAGGTAGGCATGTGAAGATTTTAGCATGACTTGGACAGCCACTCCTCACCAGCTGCTGGTGTCACCCTCAGCTGGTGCCACACACAGTCAGTGCTCAGATTGGAAATTTGCAGCTTTTCTGTGTTATCTCTTTCACGTGCAACCACTTGACTTCTGTGGAAGAGTTCAAGCCCTTTTGCAGATGACTGGAGCCCCATTCTGAAACTGGAACCCTCTGACAAGGCAGGCTTCCTCCTTGCAGAAAGGGAATTCAGGTTTGGAGAGGGAAGAAGATAGAAACACTTGGCACATCTGTAGGGCATCTGAAATTGGTAAATTCTAATTTTAAATCTTGTATAAATTGCTATAAAATCATTATATAATATGTAACAACACACAGAAAATTACCTTGGCAGATACTTAGATTAAGACCTCTCTAAACTAACACTCCAATTTTAAAGCTTACTTTAAAACCCATTTTCAGTCTTATTCAGTATTGTAAAATTTGAGGATTTAAACTTGAGCTGTGAAAGCTGAAAAATTATACTCTCTATTCAGTTAAAAGTTTAGCATTTGTTTTCAGTACTGAAACCACCTATATACCCAGTTTGTTCTGTTTGGCTTTTTTATTTCTTTCTATTAAGCACACAGATAAATACTCAGAATCTCTGGTTTCTCAGAACTGATCACTGTAATCATTTCTAAGTATTTAACATACTTGAAACATTAAACCTGAGTACCAAACTTCAGTGATTTCCAAATGCCCTCAGAATTACAGTGATGGAAATCAGAGTGGTCTCTGTTGCAGTGTACATAAGGGTCAGCAGGCAGGATCACTGATAGCTGCTTCTGTTTATCTCTGTCTCTGTCTGGAGTTATGTGTCAGTCCCAGAGGTACCAGCATTTCCACTAAGGGTGGGCCACTGGCCTTAAAGTCTTAAAGTTCTTTTAATTGCAAATTAGAGAAAGTATAGACCTGCTCCAGAAGTAAGCTGTGTCACCTCTCCCCCCTTTTGCCCTCCCCTCTCATTCTCTGCTTATGCTCCCCCCATCTGGCTGGCTGCCTTGCTGCAGAATCAGCTCCTCCTCTGTTCAAGCCTCTTCCAGTTGTATTTGGCAGGGTCAGCCCCTGGCCTGCTTTTAGGCTTTTGGTTTGCATCACTATTTATTAGATGGAGAAGAGAGCAGAATGGGAAAGAGGGGTGAACAAAGGCTGGGCACTGCTGCAGCCTGTCCTGTTGGATCCCAGTGATGTCAGTGGTCAGGGTGCAGATCCCAGGAGCTCTGGGGGCTGCTGGCCTTGGAGGTGGGGGAGCTCTGGGGCCCTGCAGGACAGGGCAGCAGGGCTGGGAGAGGCCTGCCTGAGTCACTCACTGAGCTGGGATGTCTCTCTTCCTTCCAGGACTGTGGCTTGCAGCTCAATGATGAGGAAGGCCATCGTTGTTACCCCCTAGAGGGCCACTTGCTCTGCCACAGCTGTCACATCAGGCGCCTTAATATCAAACTGCCATCACATCCACCTCCCAGCTACCCCATGCATGTCACAGAACTCTGAAAGACATTTCCACGATCAAAAAGCCGCTGGAAAGAAGACAAAAATCTAAAGATTACTTTCGTGTTCCTTTCAAGATGAGGTTCCAGTAATAACCATCTAAACCAGCTATTTATTTTTTGAATCAGAGGTGAGGGGTCCTTTTCTGATCTTGTACATATGCATTCTTTTATCTAAACATTTTCACTGAGACACCGTCTACTTGAACAAATAATTCACCACTAAACTGTAACTGTAAATGGCAGCATTGCTAAAAACAATGGTACAAAGGGCTGTTCTGCACTCCCTGCTCTCTTCCTTCAGTGGAGATTTCACCCGAGTAAGGAGTGTCGAATTACTTTCCAAAAGTTAGCACCTTATCATATTGCAGCAAGCATGATAAGATAAATGCTAGCATTTTAGCTAGTTTTGTTGAATTCTGGTCTTAGAGAATACTTAGATTCCAGAAGTAGGGAATAGGCAGCAAGCAGGTGTTTTAGCCAGGGCAGTTTTCAGCAAGGTTAAAGCAGGGTGTTCTGTGAAGAAGTGTCAGGCCAGCTCTCCATGCTACAGGGTCCCACAGTCATCCAAAGATTAATTATTTGGCTTGTTCAAGAAATGTGGCAAGCCTCTGATGAAAAACCCACAGTACAGAGGATTGTATCCAAAAGATTGGCACGTGCAGGGTCAGCAGTTGCAGCCCTCTGTAATTGCTGGCTGTGTAGCCATGGCTTCAAAATGCATTCCTATCAACTGGACCATTTGGCACTTACTAAAGAATTCGTCTTTCAAACCTGTTTTTTGTTCAGTAGGGTTCTATGCAAAGGTACACTTGTCTTTATACTGCTTGTTTTATCCAAGACTTCATTTGTTACCAACTGCTTCATGATTGTATGTTGAGACATTATTAAAGAGAGGCACAGTGGTTTGGTATTACCTTTTCAGCTTTGTGTTCTTTTCAAGATTACTTTTCAACTGATTATGGTGACTGTCTTCATTGGAAAGCAAAGTGCAGTATGGCAGGAATAGTAATTTAGAGAGTCAGACCATGAAACATCAGTGTTTACAACAAGTGTTAGCTGTACATAGACTGTACACACTTTCATGTTTTGCATAAGCTTTTACAGTACCCTCAGACCTCTGGGGAGAAATATATGTCTTCCATATAGGAAGTTAGATGAATCTTTTTTTATGGTTTGTTTTTACCATGTGCTGATGTTTTACATGCAAATCACACATCTGTATGTCAAAAAAATTCCTTGCATTCTCACGAGAATTGACCCAGCCTTCCTGAAGCTGCAATTTATCATTGCTGTCTTTAACTGCATTCAAAGTTACAATAAAATAAAATTCTTCAGCCCCAGAGGAAGTAGAAATACCAGAGTGGATTCTTGGCATGTGTGAATTGGGCCATTTCCATGCCAGTTCCAGCACGGCAGAATCCGCCCGATCGTTCGGAAACGGTCCCGTGTTCAATCCAGCATGCAGACTGATGGAGTGACTTATTTGGCAACACCATTGCAGTTTAGTTTCTTATGCTCCATTGACTTTTTGAAAGCCATTTGTGGTGCTCTTGAAAAGCACAAAGAGCATCCAATGGCCACTAATTCCTAAGTGGAATAATTAACTCCCTTAACAGAACTTTTTGATAGTCTGGAATTTCCTTATGAGGAAAGGTGGGGGAAGGGGAACAGGAAAAATTCCTGAGAACTATTTTTTCTGTTAGTAAGGAACAAAAAGGATGCTTTCTGAACTTCTGCCAGACTTCCATTGGCCTAGATTAACCTGTCCTACTGAAGACTCCTGGGCAAAGTAATTTTGTAGTTAATATGTATCAGTTTGTAATTAACATGTTTAATGCGAATGCCAGGATTTGAAGTAACTTGAGTGCAGTCAGTGCCCCATTTCTGCACTGTGGCCCAAGAGGCCTGGCCTGCAGGTGAGAGGCCAGGGGTGCACCTGCACTTCTGCATTTGCAGACACTCCCTCTGTGTCCATAGTCAGCAGCCCAGCCTCAGCAGGAAGTGGAATTACACGTGCCAGCAAATGCTGGAGAAAGGGGAAAAAATGTCTCAAACTGGATTGTATGACCAGGTCAATTCCTTCAGGTTACTACAAACATGGAAGGTGCCAGAGCTTCAGGATAAACTTTTAGCATCAGCTGCAATGGAGTGCATTTTCCATTGCAGGAGGGTGCTGTGGACCACATTTAGATTTGAGCATTTTTACTTGCATGTCTTTACATGCAGTCTTTGCCCAGATTAAGAAATCATTAAAATACATAGAGAAGGTTTGGGTATGTTCCTGGGAACAAATAACAGTTACTTGCTGAACTGGAAAAATGCTTTTCTCTACCAGTAGAGAAGCAAAACCTTCACACTGACAGTGGGCAGAGCTGGAGCTGACTTACCCTGGCATTCAGCCCATCCTCTGCCAGCACCTTCCTGAACACTTGGCCTCCATCAGGGCATCAGTTTAAGTTTCCAGCATACTTTCTAAGGGCCAGCACACTTTCAAACATGTACATGCCAGACCATTTCTTCATGTTTTGTTCAAAATGATCATCCTGTAGAACAGAATAATATTTCATTTCATTTGACATGCTGATTTTTCAGTCTCTTGTAGTTCTGTGCAGTTCTGATCTGTTAAGTGTCACCATGGTAAAAATTCTGAAAGGTAATATGTCAATATAGAATAAGCAATTTGTTTAAAACCAGAAAGCAGCAGCTGTTGTTCTAGTATTTTCTATAGACAGATGCATTCCATTACTGTATTACAAAGTGCAGCTTTGCTTTTCCAGCATTTACTATAAAAACTGGGGCTTGAGTGAGATTTGCCAGGTTTGGTTGGGTTTTTTTTTTTTCAAATCAAAGAGAAAAATAAAATCAAACCTAAAATAATGATGTGCTGTACTCTTTAGTGCTAGTGACAGTTTCTGCACATTTTACCTCCTGCCTGGGGAATAATGTAAATGAGAACTCTCATTTTAATGATTTTCTTACAGAATATTCTTACATTAACTCAGTTCAACACAGATGAAAACTTCCTAAGTCCGTTTTACAGTGCAGTTGTTCTTCAGAAGCAGTTACTGTACTTTCAGAATATTTCCATAAAGTCACATCAATAACAACCTGCTCTCATTTGCATCAGGGCTGCCCCTCCCACCTGGGAGGGGAATCCTCCCCAGCCCCTCCACAGGAGCTGCTGCAGGGTCCCTCCCACCCGAGGGCGACTTCCAAAGAAAGGACCAAAATCATCCTTTGAAAACAAAAGAATGCACTCAGAGAATGGAGCTTACACAGAGAGTTTGTTGGGGTTTCTTTCCTTTTCCTTTTACTTGTGTGCACGTGTGTGTATATATTTTGTAAGGTGGAGCTTCAAAAGGAAAACATGGTTAGAGGAACTCTTTAAGACCAGAAATTCCAGAGTAGTAAAGTAAACCAAAGCTCTAAAGGAAACAAAAGCTGCTTTCTTGTGTTTCAAGAAAAGTTTAAAAGTTTGTGATTCATCCTGTAACTAATGCCGTAACTAGAGTATATAATTTGACTTAAATTAAGTTTTCATTTGAGAAATATTTTCATTTTCTTTAAAAGAATATAGTTTTCTTCCAAGAACTTGGACCAACGTTGATTTTTATTTTGTAGGAAATATATGAATTCCCAGTTTGTATATCATGTAACTAGTTTACATGCTGAAAATATACATTAGTTAACTATTTTTGTATATATATATCTTTGTAAAACCTTTCAATGTGCTTCTGTCTTTTAGTCTTTAGAGTTACTTGTGGTTTTGTGTTTCAGTGTTTGATTCCCTTGATTGTTGAAGAAAAAATTGGGAAATGTAGATTTATTTATCTAAAGAAGAAGCTACTTGCTATCATCTTAAGTTATTTAATATTAAAGTCAGAAGTTTCATTTAACCTTAGATGCTATAATCTGCTTTTTTCAATAAAGACATTTTGTAGTTATCTCTGGCTTTGTAGTCTGTTGCATGTAAGTATTTTATTTCATCTAGGTAGGCATTAAAACAATTTTCAGGAACCCTTGTATGCCTACAGAAATGCTTAACTGATATTAATTGATTGCAGCTGCATTCATGAAAGATTTTGGTCCTCTAGTGCAAGTGTTACTAATTAAGGTCTAAAATGTGCCCACAGCTAACGTTCTGCAGCTGCACTTAGAAAAGAATTTAGTCACTCTGGCACTTTTTAATTAAGCTTTAACCAGTCTGGCTAGTTCACATGTCGGACAGTCAGTATTGAGGAACACTTCCTTTTCAAAACTCTCATTATTTTTTGGAGTGTTCCACAAGAGAAATATTTGCCTGGGCTATGAACTTAGCTCGAAGCACTTGGATCTCGGTTTGGGGAATTTTCTCTATATTCTTGCTAAGTCACAGTAATCCAGAAACTGTGGCCAGAGCTCTGATAGGATCAAAGAGATGCATGTTTGTCTGTTTTGCCCTTCTGAAGCTTTTTGCCACGTTCCTGTCTCCAGTTTCATGGCACAGATGGGAGCCTGGTCACCTTTACCTTGCCCAGGCCGTGTCCTGCAGGAGCAGCTGTGTCCATTGGGCAGGAGGTGCCTTGTCTCCAGCTGGCCAGGGGAGAGGACAGCAGAGCTCCTTCCTTGTTTCCTCATGGTCAGTGTCCTTCCTTTCCATCAGGCTGGGCAGGCTGCCCTGGTGAATGTTCTTCCCTGCACTGAGGGGCACACATCAAACACTCACAAGCTGCTCTTGGGGTGTGCAGCCACCCTCCCATCAGAGGGGCCTCTGCAGCTCTGCCACCCTGGCTTGGCCAAGCACAAATGACTTCACAGCTGGAAAAGAAACTTCCTGGAGGTTTTCCCACAACGGCTATTTTGGCAAATTTTCTTCTGCACAGTCAGAATGGAAAGAGTTACAAATGCCACAATTGTTTTAGGGACAGTCTGCACTTTGGTGCTTTGAAACAGATGTACCATACTTCTGCAGGGCCTTCACATACATGCTATTTTCTCACTCATTATTTTCAAAAATTCATTCAAAATGAGCAATCCATGCCCTCCTTGAAGGAAAAAAAAAGGCACAAAGACTGGCCAACTCAAAGCATTTTAGCAGGGCCTTACAACATGGGTGACACAAATGTACTTAATAAAAATCGAGGACATCTTAATGCAGCAGGAATTTACACCAACTCATAACCAACTGACTGAAAAGAACAGAGTACTTAAAAACCTCAACTGTTCCATGTGGGCCTCTGAGCAGAAAGCACAGACTGGAGAAATGAACACTGGTTCATGGCAGGGTGGGTGTGAGTCAGGCCCTGGCTCCTGGGGAGCACCACCAAAGGCTGCAGTGCTGGGTCCCTGGCTCTGTGCTGGGTCCCTGGCATGGCAGTCAGCCACAGCCTGTGTGTTCTGGCACTCTTGAACCCCAAGGTTGCTAAACCTGGCATGCAGATGATTTGGGAGGGCTTGGCCAGCCCTGCTCTCACCAGCCACCCCCAGGGCTGCAGCCCTCACCTTGCAGCTACTGCACAGAACCAGGATGTTGCCAGGTCATCCCAGGACTGAGCCAGAGACATGGAAACTGTTAGGAATGTGTGAACTAGGCTGGTGAGGCTGTCTTCAGTCCCCACAGTTCATAGAATAAATGAGGATGGACAATAAATAACTAAATAACTAACTAAATAAATAAA